GTAATTCAGACAGTTTATTTTATATCGACTTGAGTTAGATCAAAACGGGTCAACCAAACGCGACCTGAATGAATATCTTTTATGTTGGCCCGAACCCGATCCAACCGGACTCAACCCGATCCGTTTCATTTCAGTAGACAGTATCCCCATTTTTCTTGTATTGAAAAGACGCTCATTGAAGCGGCCACTCTTGCATAGATAAATCATGTGCGCAAACACATTGTTTCTCAAAATACACACTCGATAGTATATAAGTTTGTCAAAAATGAAAAAATTGTCAAAAATAGTTTGGAATGACCCATTTTGCTTTTCCCCCCTTGCAATATTTACACTAGATAAAGCATGTACGTGTGAATGTCAGTTTAAAAAATACATAGTGTCTGCGTAAAAATCCCAAAAGGGGTTCTTATTGCTTTCTGAGAAAGTTATGAATTTTTTTGTTTTTCTCTCAGAGGCTAAAAAGACTCACTACATAAGACCAAAAATTCTTTTGAGACATGTATAATAGAAGTGAGAAAGATCAGATCTTTGATGATCTGTAAAAAGAGGAAAGAGAGCAAACAACCAAGTGAATAAAGGTACCACGTATGTAAAAAATAGTATTCTTCTAAATAGAGGAGTTGAGAAACCACTCATTCTGCAAGACTTAACAATCGCAACTCTTTGACGAATGTTTGTTTTTGAAATGTTTATCATTTTTCCCCAACCTAGTTTACAAGAAATGTAATATCCCAGATATTTAAAGCAATTCGTCCAGTTGATTTTAATACCAGCACAAAAAATCTCAAACTTGTTCGGAGCTATTGCTCGGGCACTCCATAAAGCCTCTGTCTTTTTATAATTTATCGGTTGTACGGCAAGAGTCGAGTAGAACTCCAAGTAGTCAAAGAGCGTTTTTAGTCTATTCTCCAGGTCACGGCACTGCAGAGAATATTTAACACCAATCATACCACTCAAGACACAAGCCAAATCATCAGCGAAAAAATTTGGTAGAGAAATTTCCAGAAATGTCCACATGTCACTATGGTACGTAATGAATAATGTTGGTGTAAAACACGACCCCTGTGGACCACCTTTCAAGATAGAAAAATAACTCGAACGATTACCTCGGATTTCAATGAAGCCTTTACGATCTCTCAACCAAGTACCAATCCATAAAACATATGCTTTCGGGATGCCTAGGCGCAACAGTTTACCAATACATCCATCCCACCATAATTGGTCGAAAGCTTGTTTAAAATCGACAAAGACTGTAGCCACCGGTGCACTACTACTCATCAGCGACGAGATTTGGTCAATCAAAAGAAGTACACGCGATTGTAGGCGAAAATTTGATCGAAACCCTGATTGGGAATCGTGCAAAATTCCACGATTACATAAAATTTTTTGGAAACGCTCCAAAAACAAACGTTCTAATATTTTCAAGAACACATCCAACAATGAAATAGGTCGTGTGTCTGACACCAAACAAACCGAATCTTTTTTTGCTAGTAATTTCATCTTGACTGTTTTCCAATATGAAGGACCGACAAAAGATGATAACGAAAGGTTGAAAATATTCAGCAACCCTATCCAAAATGGTGTTGGAATGAACTGGAACATGAATGAGGAGATCCCGTGGGCATCTACTGAATGTTTCTTTTTGCGTTTCGTGACAACCTTCATCAATTCTGATAAAGTGATTGGTGGAATGACTTCATCATAATTATCCCAAATGAGTTCTGGACTATCGATATGCGGATGTGGGCGAAAAACAACCGGTTCTTTAAAAAGATTCTCGTAATATCCTGCAGCCATCTCCAACATTTTATCGGTTTCCTTTACTACCCCACCATTGTCATCAATAAATGCATTTAATGAACTAGCAACCTTAAAATTTTTTCTCAGCCTCGACCAAAAGGCGATCGATCCATTCGAGGCGCTAAAACGATTATACATTGAAGTAATTAATTGATTAGAAAGCAACAGTCGCAGTTCCTTCCTGTTATTTTTACGTAATTCTTTGATTTTGATTAAGAGAGCTACATCACCAGTTCTTTTTTGTGTTAAAGATAAAGCTCGTGTGTGCGACAATTTTTGACGTAACTGTTCTGGAATCGCAGTCCGATATTTTTTCAGTGGAAAATAGACAGTACATCGTGCCTTCAACAATGACAAAAACGAAACAAAATTTGTATAACTATCCTCCATCGAAGAATATTTCTACTGTTCATCCCAAAAGTCTGAAACAAACGAGAGGAAATAGTTGAACACCTTCCAGTGAACACTACTACCCGACATTGCTTCTATTCTTTCGCAATTAATTACTCCTAATACCGGTCTATGGTCACTAGTTGTCCCCACAACACATGTTTGTACAATCAGTGGTACGCCCAATACAAATGCATAGTCAATTATTCGATTTGAGCGAAGTGATGTTGCAGTATCAGGGACGATTGGAGCTAAAGATTGGCCATCCGACCAATTCAACAACTCCTCGCAAGCCTTTTTATCGACATTATCATCAAAGTCGATATTAAAGTCACCAAAAAGACAACATTTATCCGAGACATATGGTGACAAATCCTCCCACTTCCAAGTTCTACTTTTCGGAGCATAAACACCGACAATTCGAACCGTCTGCTCTAATTTAACCTCGACTACGCACACATTTGGAATATCAGAACGTATTCTTAGACACGGGATTGATGATCGAAATACTAGAACAACACCTCCCCGATTGTTTTCACCTTTTTGATAGAAAAACTTAGAATTAACAAATAATTTTGAAAGAAACGAATAATCCACGACGCCAACTTCAAGTAGAATCATACAGTCTACCTTGAATTTTTCGAAGAAAAGAAGTACTTCTTGCCATCGTTCCTCAAGTCCTCTTACGTTGAACAGAAGAACATTGAAATTTGAAAGAAGAGAATACCCGTTAGAACGCTCAAAGGGCTTCCATGAAGAAAAACATGAAGAAAAGGTGGGGAAAGAATACCACTCCTTCACAATAGCAGAAAGCAAAGAAAAATCGAAATCTGACAAAAACTTAGAAGAAAAGGACAATGCATACTCCAGATCAAAATTAGTTTTCTTTTGAGATACAGCAGGAAAAAAAAAGGAAGGGGCCAGGGGCGAAAGTTTTGAATCACCAGACGACTGAATTTAACTGCATTTTAGAGGAAACTATTTTAACTACCCACTGAAAAAAAATTTACGAATTCCTGCGTTGACACGCAGGAATCTGAAAAAATCCTGTGAATGTTTGATATATACTGCAGGTTTTTACGTTACCACGTTTTCATGTTACCTCGCTGAAAATTTTCTTGCAAGTTGATGAGTATAATTGAACAGGATTCTTTAACACGCTAAGTTTTCAAGTTTCTTTTCTGCAGGATCCTGAAGGATTCTTCTCTAGGCACACCATGCAGGAACTTTTACATGCTTTCATGCGATATATCTCGCAGATCCTTCACTTTGCATAGCCTACGGAATTTTTTCCTTCCTGTTATCACTTCTAATACACAAGACTTCTCAGTACGCAAACCCTGCAAGGTCTATAGGATTTCCTCATGATGATAAAAAGTAGTAGCTTGTGGATTTTGTTCGCCATGTCTCTCTTACGGCATTCTGCAATCTTTTCTCATCAATGTCTGTGCTGGGTGGCCGTGGAGAAACTTGTCTGTATTTTTTATTTTTGGCAAGTTAAGTACTTTTGCATTTTTTCTTGTAAATTCATAAGAGCTTTTCTCATGTCAAATAAACTTCCGGAAAATGTATACCTTAATATCTTTAACTATAACTTATCAATGTTTTACCGATGTGTTTAAATTATATACCATTCAACAGAGTATTCAAAGGGATTACTCTCATTTCGTCCCCTCTCGTTTCGTCCCGTTTATTTTCTAGCATTCTACTCATTTTATAACTATTCATTTTTTTGTCTATCAACTGTATACTCATCAATATTAATATAATTCATTAAGATAATGTAAGAAATTGATAGATGGATGGCTTTATAAGTTACATTTATTATTTTATTTACGAGTTACAATGAAACAGGTAATTTTACAGTATTAACACATTTGTCACATTTAATTGCAAGTTCAGTTCCAGACAAAGTACCATTTTCATATCGTGTAAAATATTCCTTCAATTTATTATCACAATTGTTGTAAACTTTCGGCCTCTCGATTCGTCAGATCCTTGCCATTGTTTCATTCATGAGTATTGTTTCTTTGCAAAAGCCCTTCCATTAAACAGTTAAATTCTATCATGAAGTATACAAAATGACTTCGTTAACATTAAGTTGCTATTGATCCAGGTTTAGAAAAACGAAGTCCATTAGGATATGTATCAACGTATGAATATGCCATGTATCAGTTTCTTACGTTATCTTGATGAATTATATTAATATTAATTAGTACACAGTGTATAGATAGAACAAAATGAATAGAATGCTAGAAAAAACAACGGGACGAAACGAGAGGATACCATTCAAAACTGAAGAAATTTAGAATAGTTTGTTTATTTGTAAAGAGCTTTTATTTGCTAGAGGAGGGTGTCGGTTTGACCGCTTAGGTCCTGTCCGACTCACACAACAAAATTATACAGAAAACTAATTTGATTAAACATATTAGACACATTTAAGAGATAAGAACAGAATATAGTAATATATAATATATATCTGGAAAGATGCTGATGTCTCTGTTATTTCTTTAATTATTACACATTGCAAAACTATACAACTTATCAAAGTAAGTATTTGGATCAGATGAGAAAAACTTTACTAAACGTTTATTAGGTCTCCCCACTAACAGACCTTGAATGTGAGAATTTTCGCGATAGTGGGTATACACCTCATTGTTCACGTGCTTATTTTGAAGAACTTTTCCTAAAAAGGATGGCTCATGCTGTTGTATTCTATCTAGTCTTTTCATCAGACACTTTCGATATTTTGATTCTAAAGAAGGTAAACAAAAGACTTCATGAAGATCTATTGTTGAACAGTGAAATAAACAAAAAATCGTTCGTAAGCATCGCGTATAGAATGCATTGACACGATTTTTTGTTGAGACGCAAAATAAACAATATACCGTTGCTAATAGATACAGATGAGGCCATATACATGTATTCAAAAACTTCAGTTTAAGAGAATTGAAGGAAGGGAATTGTCTATGAACATATTTTAGAATACCATAAGAGCTCCTCAATTTAATGAACTGGGAATCGAGCGTGTAGCGAAAGCTTAATTTTCCCCTTAGAAAGAAACCCAAATATTTATAAACTTTTTATAACTTTATAACAAAAAAAATTCCTTACTTTCCAAAAAAAAACAAAACATCCAGACAAGTTTCTCCACAGTCATCCTGACAGATATTGGTGAGAAAAGGTTGCTGGATGCCGCAGGATAAACATGGAGAACGACATCGTTTTTCTTTCAACCAACAAAATTTTGCCAGATCTCGTAGGAAAAAACTTGTGGATTGAACAAGTTAAAAAGTCTTGCGATGTTTCTTACCGTTACGCAGGATTTTTTCCATGCTGACCCTACATAAACTGTGCAGGATTCTGTCAGGGCTGGCAGCATAAAAATCCTGCGTAAGGGTAAGAAACATCGCCAGTTATCTTAATACCGATAACCTGCAGGATCCTGCATAAATTTTGATTATTTTTTTCAGTGGGAAATCCAATCAACGGTCTCTAGCAAAATCAAATCAAATCTAAAAACAAATATTTGGTCTTACGTGTAATAATACAGTTACGAGATCGCCTATGCGACGAAGGCCAGAAAGTTCGATTCTCCAATTTAATAGTAGTTTTTTCTTTTTCTCGGCTTATTTTTCTTCGTTAGTTCTCAGTTCTTTTCGAAAGAACTGTTTGTCAGTTTCACTTCTTTTTAAACTAAAGTTATAGTTCTTAGGAACTGGAACTGGATAAACCAGTTTCAGTGTTTAAAAACTATAACCGATTCGACAGTTTCAGTTCTTGCAACTAGAAGTGGAAGTGCTACACCCCTAATCAGATCTGTGCGCTATAACCATGTCAAACGAAAATCGCTCTCCTCACGACGGATGAGGCAGAGACGAAGTGGAGTTTAGATATGTTTCATGCTATAAATATGAAGTGTGTTTGTTCAGACATTATGCCAGTCACTGGTGGTTTGTCTAAGTTCATAGCATTTTCGCATGAAGGATGACTGGCGATCAATTACAACAGTAACGATAACTTTCTTCTTCAAATATTCCCACATGGATTTATTGA